TGCCATGGTGAACTCCTCTTCCCAGGTAGGGAAAAATGAAGAGGGGACATATGTCCCACCAGGCCTCTGGGATAGATAAGGATGAGGCCTGCGGGGTGGAGACTCTGGAGCCAGAGGACAGTCCAGGGAGGTCCCCGTGCCCCTGTTGGGTGTGAGGAGCAGGGAACCCAGAGAGAACGGCAGCTGAAGGAAGCCAAGGGGATGTGTCCTGCCAGTCTCTGAGATTGCTGGGGTGAAGGAAGTCCAGGGAGTGCCCTGCGGCCATGGCCCTGTGCAAGGGGCAGGGAGCTGGGGATGATGGGGAGAAGCCCAGGAACCCCACCCCTTCTTGGGCACTGAAGAAGAATCGAGGTGACAAAAGGCAGCAGAGATGGGATGGAAGCTGACACATTTGAGATGTGCACAATAATAAACTACCTTGTGACAAGGGGGTTCTCAGCCCAAAAGAGTCTTTGGGAGGGGGCAACTGAGGCTGCAGGGGCACTTTCCTGCCATGAGGGGGTGCTCTGGAGGCAGTGCCGCTGCTACAGCCACACACCTTCCATTGTTTACATCACCCATCACCCACCCACGGCCTCTGCAACTCGGGTTCCTAATCAACACCCTCCTAACAAGCCCCAGCGTCAGGCGATGCCCCTTCACCTCTTGGCTGTCTGTGAGGGCCCAATGCCATGGTGAGAGCTCCTTCTGGGAGGGGTGGCGAGGGGAAGTGGCCAAGGCTGTTTCCAGCCACCGCAGGGCAAGTCTGGAATAACTGAAGAGCTGTGAGCCAGACTCAGCTCCCAGTGCCAGCCCACATCTCGCTGTGCCACCCTTCCTGCGGAACTGAGTGTTAATTGTGCCCATGGGGAGGCTGGAACGCTCCAGGCTGTCAGGGTCACACACGCTGAGTCCTGAACCTGCTGACAAAGGAGATTACTGGACGAGAGGGGCAACTCACAGGGTGCTGTGGCCAGAAGGCTGCCAGGCCCCCAGAAGAAGACTCCCCAGCCTCCTGAAGAAGTCCCCAGCACAGGAGAAATTCTGTGGGACATTCCTACTGCCCCCTGCAGCTACCCCCCGCTCCCACAACACCTCTTGGATCCCCATGGTCAGGATGCAGGCTAAGGCACAGAGTCTGAAGAAGCATTCCTGGTAATGCCCAGACAGAGGAGTTGCCCGCCTGCATGCTCATCCTCAACACTGTAGGCTGCCCTGTTGGGTGCAACAACTCAAAGAGTCAGAGAGTTTAAGGCTAGAAAGGCTCAGATCACCCAGTCTGACCTCCTGTATATCACAGGTCACCAGCACCCGCATGCTAAACCCACCAACAGAACCGAGAGTAAAGGGTCAGCCCGCAGGAGCCTAGACTGTTCTTTGCCACAGGGAGTGCTAGGAGGGACCGAGCGGCATGGAAATGGTTAATGAGATATACCCAGGTAATCCTGGAAAGTGACCTGCACTCACACGCTGCAGAGGAAGGTGAAAGCCCCCCAGGTCTGTGCCTATTGGCCCTGGGGAAAAATTCCTTCCTGACCCCCCATATGGTGATCAGTGAGACCCTGAGCATGTGGGAAGAACCAGCCAGCCAAGCACCCAAGAGAGACAGTGCTCAGTGCCACCCGATAGCCTGGCCCACCCCGCCCAGAGTCCCCTCTGCAGCTGTGGCCATCCCTCATGTTTCAGAGGAAGGAGACCAAAAAATGCCAGAATACACTGAGGGGAATCCAGTCCTGATGTCTGCAGGTGAGCTGCTAAAGCTCTGAAGCATGGAACATCAGACATCCACCAGAAGGGAATCCAAGGGCTGCCAAGCCCTGCCCCTACCATCACAAGCACCCCCTCACAAACTTGTCTAGCTGTTCCCATCTGGGGGTGATTCAGTGGCCTGCGTGAAATTAGTTTGCTGGGTCTCAGTCCAGCTCCCGGGGACACTTGACAAAACCTTCACTGTGATTGGCACTAGCTGGCATCCTCAGCAGCAAGGTCAGGCACTGGAGAGGCCATGGAGGCTGCGCTGCACTGCCCTCTCTTCCATGGGGGTGGTTCCCACACTCCCGCTCAGGACAGAGGCACATGGCTGGAGAAGCTTGCACTGAGCTGTTCCTACTCTGCATATAAAGAGGTCTCCAGGGCTGTCAAAATGTACTCACTTGTTATCTATATTGTGTGGCCCCACCCACACCTGATGGGGGTGGGCCTTTCATTTTCTTTGGCTCCACCCACCAAATAGGCTGACATCTGTCACCAGCTGGAAACGTCATTGCCCCCCACATTCCTCCCCTCAATTATTTCCTGTCATGCTTCCCTCATCAGTCTGAGATGGGGAGCAGTGGGTGTGGGAAGGAGTCGTCTCCTTGAGGAAATATGGCTCAGTCCCCTTCTCCCTCCCCAGGCATCCTGAAATGTTGTTGTCATGACTCAGCAGCCTACCCACTGGGTTAGTGGGGGCTGATGCAGGGCTATGGGGGTCTGAATGCCAGTCACCGCTTCCTGGAAAGGAAGGCAGGAGCATTTCTAACTGAATCATCCAGTGCATTCGCTAGGCTCTGGGGGGTTCCAGAACTGCACTGCAGTCTGAGCCTCCCCTGTCCGCCAGTAACGGATCTCAGCCCACCAAACTTCCAAATTAGAAGACAGCAAAAGTCAGCCCCAAAAGCGCATCTCCCACCTGCCTTCCCAGTCCAGAGGAGGCACCTGGCCTCCCTCAGGCAAAAGCCAGACGCCACCATTTACAAAAGCAGTCACTGCTTCATTTTTGGGATTGCAGCATGTGACTCCTTAGCTCTGATTTTCAGATGTGCTCGGCCCCTTGGACAATCAGGCTCCTGGTGTCTCAAGCTGGCACCCAAAGTCAGTGGCTGCTTTTGAAAATGAGCCGGCGTGAAGAGGAAAAACCTTGCCATGTGGCCTGAAAGTCACAGATTGGGTGGACCCGTGGTTAGGCCACTAGCCTAGGACTTGGAGACCTGGGCTTAAGTCTCTGGTGAGTCACAGACTCCCTGTGTGATCTGGGGCAAGTCATCTAGCCTCTCCATGTCTTAGTTCCCAGTCTGTAAAATGAGGATCGTAGCTTCTACATTAAAGATTGCGAAGTGCTCAGAACTACAGGTCTGGGGGCTGGACCATACCAGAAATAAACAGGTCTTGGCAGGCTAATGGGGGAAGGGAACTCCAGCTAGCTTGAAGCTGACACTGCCAGAAACAAACAGGGAGTTAGCACAATCTGCATCAAGAGCGCAGAGCACCACTGACGCTGGGCATCACCACTGGGCTAAGAGTGGGGGAAGTGTCTGAAGGGTCTTTGTGAGGGGGTGTCCCCCCCTGCACAAGGTAAAGCAGGTTAAAGTAGGTTGATTAACCTGATAGGCCACCGAATTCCCCTCAGGTGTGGTCTAAATAGCTGGGAAGCGACCGGTCACATCCTCACATTCCAAACTAGTCACATTGAAATAAGGCAATCTGGGACTGTTAGAAAGGTGATCTGATCTATCACCTCCAGAGAAAGGGAAGAGCCTACAGGATGTAAAAGGAAATTTAGTTTGATAGTTTTCTGTTCGGTAAGAACTTACTTATCAATAGACACAGCTGGGAAACCCTTATGTCTTTATAGATGTAGTTGTGAAATCCTCACTTCTGTATTGTTTTGTCATGATAGTTCCCACTTTGCTATTGTTTATTTGCATGGTCTCTGTCTGGTTCTGTGATTGTTTCTGTCTGCTGTATAATTAAGTTTGCTGGGTGTAAACTAATTAAGGTGGTGGGATATAATTGGTTAAATAATCATGTTACAATATGTCAGGATTGGTTAGTTAAATTTCAGTAAAATGATTGGTTAAGGTATAGCTAAGCAGAACTCAAGTTTTACTATATAGTCTGCAGTCAATCAGGAAGTGTGGGGGAGAGGGGGAATAGGAACAGAAACAGGTAATGGGGGTGGGGCAATTGCAATCATCTTTTGCTAAGGGGGGAAATGGGAATAGGGACACAAGTAAGACTCTGTGGTGTCAGAGCTGGGAAGGGGGACACTAAGGAAGGAAACTGGAATCATGCTTGCTGGAAGTTCACCCCAATAAACATCGAATTGTTTGTACCTTTGGACTTTGGGTATTGTTGCTCTCTGTTCATGCGAGAAGGACCAGGGAAGTAAGCGGGTGAAGGAATAAGCCCCCTAACACCTGGCCCTCCGGCAGAGGTGATAAGTGTTTGCCAGCAAAGATCTGCTCTGCCCTTGCCTCACCACTTAACCTAGCTAGTGGGGGCACTGATCCATCCCACAGGCTGGAGGCTGCAGACCTCCAATTACCTCCTGGATCTGCCCCAATAAAACTGGCCCAGGGTGGGGGAAATAGCATTTGCTTTCTGCTAGAAATTGGACAATCTGGTCTGAACCTGAGCAACCTTCTCGACAAAGCAATCGGGAAATTCCTCCAAGCGAGGACATGCTGCCTTGGTTCCCAAGGGGAGGCAGGCTGGGCTGGGTCACCTCACCCCCTGGAACAAGCCTTCTGACTGGGAACCTTGTGGTCAGTTGGGTGGAAGAAACAAAGACTTTCTTTGCCTTCTTCATCATCATCACCACAGCACAGGGCCTTCAAAAGTCTCCAGGCCACAGCTGGGCAGGCGGGTGAACTGTGAGGGTGGCAGAGAGGGAAAGGACATTTAGGAATCCTCCTCAAGGGTGAGAAACGGGTATAATTGCCGCCAGCAGTGCAGTGCTCTCCCCTCAAGAGATCTGACACCCAGCCCCAGCCCCAGGGCAAGGCAGCACAGTGGGTCTGCAGGACAGACCTCGGGGTAGCGATCTGGGTCATCTCCTGTGTCTTACGCTGCACCAGGGTCAGAAAGCTTGTGGGCTTTCTGTGCTGCATCGAGATGGTATGTGGGGGGCTCGGCCTACGGATGCATGGATGGCTGGTGCACTAGACGCGCGTGTGTGTACGTGTGTGAGCTTTGTGCTTCCCTGCCTCCAGCCCAGCAGCACTCTCCTGCTCACTGAGCCGAGAGCATCACATGACTCCAGCCTGGAGTGGCACTGAGCATGGGCGAAGCCATCTGGCTCACTGTGCTGTGCGCTAAATGAAACAACAAAGCCAGGAGGGGCAGCCAGCCGACAACCCTTTTGTTTTTTTCCACTGAGCATCCTTGGTCCCCCTTTTTGTCTGCTCCCCTGTGGAGAGAGGCCAGCCATCCCTAGCCCTGATCCCTGGCACCCAGCAGCACTTCCTCCCCAGCCTGGACCAGCCTGGCAGCCTCCCAGGGCCTTTGTGGTTGCGGGGACTTGGCCAAAGGAATCACCGTGAGTATCGAGGCCTGGCAGTGGCCGGAGCTGGGGCTGGGTAGGTGGGAGAGTGAGCCGCACTGCCTGTCACTGAGCGGGGCAGGGAGGAGAGGGAAGTAGCCACAGGTGTGGAAGGCCCTGCCCAGCCCTCCTGGCTCTGGCAGGTGCTGCTAAATGGACAAGCCCTTCCACTCAGGACACTGCCTGTTGTGCTGGGGCTGGGAGGGGGCAGGAGCCAGCTGGGAGGAAGGGGGGGGGGTTTCCTGCTCATTCCCCCCCCACCTCAACGCCTTCTGCCCACATAGGCCTTTGTGAGGCACTTGAGTCCTAGTCACGCTGTGGGGGACCCTGGTGTATAGCCAAGGGCAGCAAAGGGGCAGGGCTGTGATCAGGGGAAGGGTCCTGCCAGCAGGGTGTCTCTTTGGGGCGGCAGGCCTGGGGTGGACCGGTGTTGTGCCATCTTCCCCTAGAGGCTGTTGCTGGTGGGCATGGGGGTTCAGCTCAGGTTCTTCTGCTCCCAGGGGCTGCAGCGGGGTGCGTCCAGGCGGGCCCAGCAGTCCTGTTCAGGCTCTGTTCCCCCCAGCTGCCTGCTCACAGGTCTGTTCCAGGTGGGCCCAGGGATCCTGGAAAGTTCAGTTCCACCCTAGGGCTGTTCCACCCAGGCACAGGAACCCCGTTCAGGGTCTTCTGTTCCTGTGGCCAGGATCTGCCCGAGGTGGGCGTTTCACAGTGGAGCAGGCCGTGCACAGGCAGAAGGATCCCGTGCGGGTATTCTGCCTATTCCCAGGAGCAAAGGGGACAGCCTGCAGCCCCTGGCATTGCTGGCAGTGGGGAGCAGGCCCAGGTCCCTCACTGAGCTCTGTCAGTGTCTGAGACAGAGTCGCTGTGGCACTGCCTGGGTGCTGTTTAAGGGATGCTGCCACACTTGGCGATATAATCCCAGGAGGGGATCTGTTCCCATGGAGTCCTATTGTACCAGTGAGGCAGGGTTTGGAGCAGGGCCAAAGCCTTCTGGGTTATGTCCCTAGGCAGGCCGGAGACACTGCTGAGGCCAGAGCGTGACTCCTGTCTGACGGAAGTGCAGAGACATCCTCTTTGGTTTTGTCTTGATCCCCACTGCCTGCCTCACCGCAGTGGGGTGATGCTGCGCTGCTCCGGGCTGGGGAAGGAGGGGGAGAGGGAGAGACCCTACAGAGCAAAGGAGAGCCAAAACTTCACTAAATCCATGATTCTGCTGGGCAAGCATCCCAGCTGCTGGAGGGAAGTTATCCAACCCTGCCTCTCCCAGCAGGAGGCGCTGCAGGGCACAGTGCAGGAGCACTGGCTGTGAAGGGTTGTGAGCAGAGTCCCCCTCGCCTACAGGTGGAGTTGCCCTGGCTGTGGCTTGCGTGACAGAGATTCAGCGAGGGGAGCCCTACTTTCTGTTATGTGCCAGCCCTGCCTGCCTCATGCCAGCAGGCAGCGGCTCAGGAGTGCCCACTGGGCAAGAGTTTGCCCCACTTTAGTGGTGAGCTGCCCCTACAGAGCCAACCTGTCCGGCACTAATCAGGGGTTAGTGATTGCGCTGGCTGCTGAGGGAAAATGAAGTGAACTTGCATTGGGCTGGGCCCCTCTGCCAGGGCCCCTCATACCACGCACTGTATTGTTCCATGCTGGGGGGATTAAAGCACTGGCAGAGCTGGGGCTTGGGCCCTTTCACCACCTTAGCAACTTCCTGCTCCTTCAACCCTTGTGTGTGGGAGAGTTTTATACTCCCTCCGCCCAGACCAGAGCCTGGAAGTGGCGGTTGGGTCGTTGCACTGGGCTGCCCTCACCTTTCTGGGATCCTGCCAGAGCAGTAGATCCAGCTCCTGCTTTTCCAGGTGTCCCTTTCTGCCGGAGCTTTTCATAATGGCTTCTTGGAAAAACACTCAGAGGCTGACAAAGGGGAGAGAGAGGCAGGAGAGGCCTGCTTTCCTACTGCAGAGATTCCTAGCCAGGGGCTGTGGGGTACAGGGCTCGGTACATCTCTGGGCAACATCTGTGTCTCTGGGCAGGAAGGGGTCATTCTAGGGAACTTCCCCCCACCCCCAGAAATAGAAGAAAAGCCTGGTAGCTGCAGCTTTAAACAACTTCCTGGGATGGTGGTAGACTTGGAGTGGTTCAGACAAGATTAGCTGTGTTTTCAAAAGACATGCTTTAATCCGTCTTCTTGGCAAAATTCTGCGGCTTGTATGTGTGAGCATGGGGCTGGAGGGTCTGGGGTCCCTTCTGGTTGGAATCTGTGATTTCCTGTTCATCCCCTTCCTTCATGGGCCATGGGGAGAATAGGATTGCCCATACTGGCCTTAACGTGCTCCCAACACTTGCTGCTGTGCATTAGGATGATGAGCATAACCAAATTTGGGAATTGGTCCTGCTTTGAGCAGGGGGTTGGACTAGATGATCTCCCGAGGTCCCTTCCAACCCTGATATTATGATTCTATGAAATCTCATGCTTCACGCCTGGCTGCCTGCAGAGGTCAGGAAGGATTCCTCCCCTCCCCCCGCCCTGATGCGCAATTTAACAATTGTGTTCTGTTTGGGTTCTTTTGCCTTCTGAAGCATCAGAGATTGGCCACATCTCGAGATGGGGTGCTGGTTGGGGTGGACCACTGCTGTGTGATGCCTCTGTCTTACATGCTGGGCTAGTACATCCTGCTGACATGCTCAGGGTCCAACTGATTGCCAGATTTGGGGTCAGAAAGGGTTTTTTCCCCAGGGCTGATTAGCAGGAACCTGGGGAGGGAGTCTTCTCTTCCTCTATAGCACGGGGTGCTGGTTGGCTGCTGCGATCAGCTGGGCATGTCTCACCTAATCAGTTCCCTGCCATTGCAGGGGCCTGGGGCAGAGGTGGCCCCTCCATTCCTCCTGTTCTCTGCCTGTGGCACAAAACAGGTCAGCTGGACTAAAGCATTTCAGCTCTCAGGAGACTAAAGTCTCTGGGCTTCATCTCGGGGTTTCCGGGGAAAATATAATGGCCGCATTTCCCTAGTTTGCTTATGAGAATGTGATGTGGGACTGAGTCAAAGCCTTGCTAAAATCCCAAGATGTCAAGAAGTCTCAGTATAATTATCTGCCCACTGGTGGGCCATCAAAGGCCAGTTATCTCACTCTTCCAGCCTCTCCCTTCTCCCAGACAGGGCAGAGGGGGAGAGCCCCAGGGAGACACCAGCCTTCTGGAGAACAAAAGCGGGTGCTTCCCTCCGGCTGGCCCTGCTGTACCATCCTGCATGGTGTTTGGGGTTGGCGAAGGCTGGGCCAGGTAACTGTCATCCTGGCCACCCTGCCACACAGGAGCTCAGAGGGCAGTTCTCTCAGCTAGGAAAAGCCTGGGCCTCACACAGAAATAGCTGCTAAAATCTGGCAGCTTATTCTAATGTCCCTTGGATTCACTCCAGGCCTTAACTGATAGCTTGGTGAGGGCAGGATGTCCTGGGGTTACACCTGGGTGTCAGACAGGAAGGGGTTTCCCTTAGGATTCAGATATGTCTGTGAGACTTGTATGCAGCTTGACATACATATATGTTTTCTCTGCTGTACCCCACATTGGTGCTGGAGTTAAAGCCCTGGGCCTAGATCCGTAAAGGTATTTTGGCACCAAACTCGCATTGACTTTATGGGGAATTAAGTGGCAAAAGACCTTTGAGGATCTAACCTTTGCTTGTCCAAGGGCAGCGCTGCAGTCTGGCGAGCTCTAAGCATTCAAAAATCATAAGTCAGACCTCCAAAAATCATGAGATGAGCTTAAAAATCACGAGTCCTTTAAAACAATACAGCAGGGGTTCTTTTTAGTTTGCCTTCTCCATTCTGAGCCTTTAGGCTGCACTTGCTTCATGTTTTCAAGCTTTTCTCTGCAACCATAAGGGCTAGAAACTTCCTGTATTTGAACAGAAAGTTGGGATTCTCCTGGATCTGTGCTACGAGGTGCACAGACACAGAGCAACAGACAGTCTCTGCCCAATCGGAATAGGCAAGACAAAGGGTGGGACGGGAAACAGAGAGGAAGTGGGTTTCCTACGGTGCCACAGCATTGCATGCTGGGTCATGAAGTCTCTGCAGGTTGTGCTTCTCTATTAACTATGAGGGCACCTGCAATCAGAGATGTTGTGGTCTGGTGGTTAGAGCACTGCACTGGGAGATGGGAGTCACTTGTCTCCTAGCCCAGGTCCTTGACCACCAGCCCACACTGCCTTCTGGATGGCAGGGGCCCTCATGTTTACACCAGAGGGGCACCCTGCAGAGATTCCAGGTCCCAACACGCTCTGAGCAAAACAAGTTGGAGCATTGCCCCGGGACTTGTTGTTTCCACACACCCTGGTCTGTTAAGAGGAGGGTGCTCCATAGGCCAGGCCCCACTTTGCCCACCCTGGTTGAAAGACAGCCTTATGGGGGTGGGACAGGGAGCGGAAGGAACCAGCCCACCTGCATCAGGGTAGCCAGGGTGGCGCTAGCCCCCAGCCACAGGCAGAGGGTCTGGAGCCCAGTTCTGAGAGCAGCTGGAATCCCTGTGCAATCTCTTGTCTTCCCACCTGCACAGCGAAGTAAGGACTCAGCTGAGACAGGGACTAAATGAGGTCACCAGGGTTTGTCTATTGCTGCTCAGCGGTGCCGGACCATTGTGCCCATCAGATGGTGGTTGGGTTCCTGGGAAATGACTGGTGGGGCCAGTTAAGTTCCTGGTGGCTGGGTGCCCACTCTGTCTGCTTCTGCCCTGCCTGGTGGGGATCCTCTGCCCGGGGCTCTCCCCTGTCACAGGGAAACTGCTCCTGGCCCAGGTTGTTAGGAAACACTTAAATGAAGATGAAGTGATATGCCTGGGGGCTCACAGGGAATCTGTGGCAGAGCTGGGAGTTGTGCCCAGGTCTCTTGGAGCATCACCAAGACAGGAGATTGTCTTAGAATAATCCATGCTGGGGTCTCTCTTTGCCTCCTGGTTCCTGCACTCGGGACACGTTTTCCAGCTTCTCTCAGCAACCCCCAGGGCTAGAAACTCTTGG